AGGGGACACAAAAAGAAAGGGAAAAGAGCAACCTCTTCTTCCAAAAAAAAATATGGACAACTACCCCAGGCTGTCCTGGAGATTCTCATTCTACAGCAGTGTTTACACTTTTGTGAAGGGGATAGTATTTTCTCATATCATAACTGTTCTTTATAAGGAGAATAGTTTGATTAAAATGAATGATTAGAAAGTGAAGATTTTATTTTGAGGAAAAACTAAATTTAGCGACTTTCATTTATTTATTTTGTTTACTGACACATCTAAGAAACTCAGTTTAGCAACTTAGTGATGGATTTATTGATCCCTTTCTGGGACTGTAATTAATCAACAAGATGTTTATGTCAAGGTGCTATCTGTTGCTAAATTAAACATTTATGTAGGTCCATGTGAGGTTATGTACCCATGCACAGGCACACCAAATTCTGGGGGATTAGGGGATATACTTTTTCTAGAGGATTCAGAAATATTAATGGAAATGGAATTCTCAGAAGAGAATTGGTATTTGTAAGCCATTCTTTATGGCATGGTTGGAGCCAGAGTTGGTGTCTCTGGTTTCCTGGTACAGTGGGCTCCCTGCTGAGTTGAAGTGCCTTTCCATCTGCAGAGCTGTCAAAAAACGTTTGGCCTGTGTCCTGTGAGCCTGTCATTTGGCTAAACATTTGGCCAGTTGCTCTCTCCATTTTCACATGCTGGTTCTCCTTGGTCATTAACCTCTAATATATCCACAAAAATTCAGGGAATTTTGGGTGTTGTACAATCACCTTTATGTAAATGAAGATGACTTTTTCGTAACTTTTAATTTTGATATAATTTTAGACTTAAGGAAAACTTGTCCACATAGTCTGGAGAGTTCCTGTGTATCCTTCACCCAGATTCCTCAAATGTTAACGTCTTGCAAAACCAGAATACCATTGTCCAAACTAAACAAATTCATAATGGTGTGAAGTTACAGTGAATCTGATATTCCACACTGAATTTAACTATGTCTCCTGAGTCTGTTGCAATCTGTGACAATTCCAATCTGTGACAAAGACAAGTCTGTCCTTGAATTTAATGACCTTGGCACTTTGGGGGGACTGGTTGATGATTTTGTAGGAAATCCTTCACTTGGGGATGATCTGAGGTCTTCTTATGAAGATCTGAGATCTCTCATGAAGGCATGCCTTTTTTTTTCCCTAAGATAGTCTCAGTCTGTCACCCTGGATAGAGTGCCATGGTATCAGCAGAGCTCACAGCAACCTTAAACTCTTGGGCTCAAACAATCCTCTTGAGCTTCCCCAATAGCTGCAACTATAGGCACCTGCCACCGCACACAGCGAATTTTTCTATTTTTAGTAGATACAGGGTCCTGCTGACGCTCAGGCTGGTTTTCAACTCCTGAGCCTCCCAGAGTGCTAGGATTACAGGTATGAGCCCGTGTGCCCTGCCTGAGGCCATGAATTTTTTTTTTTTTTTGAGACAGAGTCTAAACTGTCACCCTAGGTAGAGTGTCTTGGGGGCACAGGGTACGGTAACCTCAAACTCTTGGGCTTAAGCCATTCTCTTGCCTCAGCCTCCCAAGTAGCCGGGAGGTCATGCATTTTTGATGAGAATTCTGCAGGAATGACAGCGGGTCTTCAGTGCGTGATATCAAGGGGTACCTAATGTCACTGCATCTTATTAGGTTGATGGTAAGGTGGTGTCTTTGATCACTGGTTAAGGTGGTGTCTGCCAGATTTATGTATTATAAAGTTACTGTTTTTTCTTTTGTAATCAGTAGTTATCTTTGGAGAGATTCTTTAACACTATGCACATACCCCTCTCTCCTGAAACTTTCCTCTACTGAATTCAGCTTCCATCTATGGATGTTGCCAGTGAAATGTATCACTGTGTTCATTCTTTCTACACTTCATTTATTTTACATACTATAAAACAGACATTTCACATTCTTGCTGATTTTATTGAGTTTATGAAAAGTATGTAAATAAGTGCCTGAATTTTTTAAGTTTTTTTTTTTTTTTTTTTT